ATTTTACATAACGGTTGAGCACCATTACGATCATTATCTAATTAATTGAGTGTGCTACTTGAGAACACCCTAAATAAACAAAATCAGGTAATTTATTTAGAACTCCTAAAAACCTTATAAAAACTGAAATTGAAATCTTATATTAGCTCTATATTATTTTATATAAAAAAATAATAATTCTTAATACTCCTAAAAATTCTTAGTCTAGAGATTGGACCTGGGTTACCTGTTGGTTAATTGCTAACCTACCTGGGTAAGTACTTAGATAAAGTATAATTTACAAATAATATGATTTGATTGGTTGAAGTGTCATTACATAACCAAGTACATAATAAATAGTGCCTGTTTAGACAAAATATAGAAAATATTTTTATTTGATTGGTTATCTTTTTTTACCTGGGTAGCAAAATCTTTATCTGATTACATGACCTACCCACAGATAACCCAGATACAGTTCCAATCCTTATCTTAGACCAGTGAATTTTACCACTGGTTAATTCTAAATTAATCTAAAAAAAAAACACTAAAAAAAAAACATCAAAAAAAAAAAAAAGACAACAAAAATAAAAATAAACAAACAAGACAATAACGAATCTTGAAGATCACAAAACCCAGTGCAAAAATAAAATAAAATAAAATAAAAATAAAAAAAAACAAAGCATAAAATAAACAAACAAGCAAACCTCAACCTAATGCAAAATAATAATAATAATAATAAAAACAACAACAGATCTTGAACAGCTCATTTTTATAGCTAGCCTGCTTTGGCAGACAAAAAACTACTAGCTAATAATTATGTTAATATTGCTTAACTATTTTCTACCTAGTCTGTTATAGTAACTTTTAGCACAATAACTATTGCTACTCTTGCAAAAAAATCACTGTTTCAGCATTTATAAATATAAATACTATATTATCTCCATACTCTTGCACTGCTTACCTAATAAATGCATTTCCAGCTTCTTAAGTAGCTGGCATTTAACCATAAACAACTAGTGCAGGCCGAATAATAAATTCAAATATGCGCGAAAACCGATATTTTGCATAATGATATCTTGTGATCTAGTGATCGGGATTGATACCATTCAATTTGTCTCGACGAAACTTTTAAAATTTATAATCAATTTTATTAGCTAATTTTACATAAATAATTGTGGTTAGTTAATTGAATTTTTTGTCATACAATACAATACTATAGAAAATTACGTTTTGATATTTTTATTCCTCTGCTATACTCCAAACAATTAAATAAATAAAAAAAAAGACGTTGCTTTAAAGAATACACTAAAATGAACCCGACAATATAATTTTATTTGTGTGTTTGCTAGTTCAAGAGTTATTGCAGTTTGAATTTATATGTTTTTACTATTATACTATAAAAAATCTTGATTAGTGATTGATACCAGGACCCCGAATAGTATATAAAGAGGTTATATTGGCTCTAATATAAATTTTATCCACTTTTTATTAGAGCTAATTAACCTTATTTAATATATATAAGCTTTAATACAGTATTTAAGTAACTTTACCCGTTTAACAAATATAACAAAATTTTTTTTCTTTTTTCAAAAAAATTTTTTACTCAAAAAAAATTTGCTTTCTCTTTCTCTTTTTTTTATTTTTTTTTTTATTTTGTTATCTAAATTTCAAATATAACTTTAAATAACATAACATTAAAAGCTTTTATCCACTTTTAAATATAACCTTTTGACGAATAACCTCTTTTCAAATATAACATTTTAATAAAAAAGTAACTTTTTATCCAAATTTTCAATATAACCTCTATATGTATTATTCGGGGTCCTTTGACACCCCATCTAGTACAGTTCTTTTTTTAAAATTAAAATAAAGTAAAATTTTTTTTTGATTTTAAGTTATATTATTTTAGTAAACATACTGTATAAAAAGGTGTTGGTTTATGCTATTCTGCATTGTAACTATACCAATCCCTCTAGATTTAAATATATACAACATGAAAATTTCAGATATTCAGTAAAAATAAGTTATTTGTACTAGTTCGTTATATCCGGGGTTCTGCATAATGAAAACTATATATATACATGTATAATATTTTGTAAATATGTCTGAATATCCTATATAATTATTTAGGTATTGAGTTAAATATGCTAATTATAAAGAAGGGATAAAATAAACTTTTGGACAATTAAATCGATTCTTGAAAACTTGATTTAGATGCTTTATAGTCACCGCTCACTCTGGTACCCTCACTACTAGCAACAGATGCTCTAGTATTAGTATTGTTCCAAGAATTATCCTCTTTTGTGTAGTCATCACCAGGTGTTTTATACTTATTATATTCATCTTTTTCATGATCCCCACTCTTTCCTTTACCATCGTCATCATCTGATTTTGTGATAGTTGGGATGTCTTGGTGACGAAGTCTGGAAGTTCCTTCATATATACGGCCAATTATGTTGACCACAAGAGTTATGCATGAGGACACTAGAGCAAGCAAGGGAATAAGATCATATACTACAGTATATCTGAAATAAATGGTCTGATAATATGCAAATTGTTTGTAGAAATAAATTAATTTAATTCACTTGTTAAATGAAATGAATCTATAACTTATATTCGAAAATGAATTATACCTGAATAACCACCCGAGGTATATCTTCTATGAAAATATTTAAACATGCACTCCAAAAAATTCTAGACAATGCAGTTTTAGAAAATGGAGCTTGAAAGAACTGAAACCCTGCTATATTTGATTGTAGAATCCTTAATGCTTCAATATCAGAAGCTGCCAATAATGTAAATACCGAAACCACTTTTCCATGATTAATAAACCACGTAAAGAATTTTTGGTTAGTGTTTTCATTCATAATAATCCAAAATGCTATGATTACGTTCAGTCCAATAGGAGCAACTAAAAAGACAAGACTTTTTGAAATAAATTTGGAAATTTCAATAAACTATTTTTACATTTACCAATAAAAAATAAATAAATAAATAAACATTTTTACCTTGGAATATAAAGCCATGGAATGTCATTTGAATTTTCGATGACAAAAAGTAAATGGACAACCAAATCAAATACGATTAAACCAAGTTGAAGAATAGCAATATTTTGACCCTGTTTAACAAATTATGTTAAAAATTGCAAAGAACCTTGCTTGGTGTGCAAAAATTCTAATTTAAAAAATTACTTTTGGTTCTCTTTGTCGAGCGCCTAAGAATAATATTACAAATATAGATAAAGCCACAAATAATCCGACTAACTTGAGTTTGTAGGTTTGCAATAAGTTTGCTATTTAAAAAAAAAACAGCTGTTTAATAAAACAATTTGACAATAATTGATTACCAATATAAATTATTCTCTTACGAGATACTTTAAATCCATAATTTTTATCTAAATATTTTGTAACATTCCCAGCAGATATCAAAGTAACATCAATATTTCCTATCATTGTGTTTAAATCTTGTATAACTAAGGGAACACTTCGATCTGTATTATTCTTTGAATCACTAATAGTAAGCGAAATTAGGGCTTGTTCTGAAGGTGTTCCACCACTTATAGCTTGAGAATTTTCATTCGAACTTAATCTTTCTGGTTTCACAGGAATAATCTGAGAAAGTTCACTTTTTAAAGACTTAAAAAAGGCTGATTTAGCACTGCTGTTCATTTGACGAAACATCTGAGTTCCAATTGTTGTTAGGCATAGCAGTCCAGTCGTATCCGCTGAAAAGAAGAATCGATATCAACTATAAATTATAAATAACTGGTATAAAATAAACAGATTAAATTCTTTACCTGCGCGCGTGAAATTCTCCAAAGGAGCTGATATATCATTGAATACAATTATTAGATGTCAAATATATGAAAATATAAAGAGTAAAAATTTAACGCGTATAAACCTAAGGTGAACTGCCAAGTACGAGGTTGAATACCCAGAAGAGGTTCTTTAAACGATCGACTTCTTACGAAATTGTTATCAATTTGCACATAATATTGTTGGCCAGGACTATTGAAAGCGCTAGGTATCACATTGATAATCACACTCTTGCCATCGGAGGAAAGAGTACAATATTGATTATTGTTACCGGAAACAACTTGTCGAACGATCGCATTATCAGAATCAATAATTTGATATATAGTAATATTTCCTTCCGATAGATCAACTTGATCGTAAAATGTGATAGAAATACTAGAGATATTCGATGAAATAGTGGAATTTATTCCTGGATCTGAAGAGTTTACCTGAAAATTTTGATAGCCGTGGTCTATAATTTATATAAAAAAAATTAGGAATGATTCGAACTAAAATAAAATAATGAATTTACATGATAACAAATTAAATTGTTTTTACCCTGATTTCCGACAAATCTTGGCAAATCATTTACAAGAAGACTCCAAGAAGTTGGAGTTTCAAGTTGAGCTAGCAAAAGAGTATTGTTACTTAAAACATAATGAATACCGGCAAAATTAGTGGATTGAGGTTCAGGTAACTCCCAAGTAACTTGTTGATCCAATTCATTAAACAAATAAAGAAAAAAACCTAAAGTAGTGGGGGTTGTTGGTCTATAAGTCGTTAATACATAACCTCCATAAACCAGTGAATCGACACTATATTCAATAATGTTTGGATCAGGATTCAGTTTTTGAATTGTAGATAAGGATATTACTGATCCTGAGGAGAGAAAACGAACTTTTATATAAAATGGGCTAAAAAGGGGAGTGATGAGAGAATCTGTGGCGTTTGCGTTTGTAAAATTTGTAGTAGCTCGTGCTATGGTTAATGTACATATATGCCCGATACCAGTATAGTCGACAGAACATCTTACAACAGTAGTATTTAAATTTGGCAATGAAGATTGGTATAGTGCATAAGGAATGCCAGTATTTGGTTGATTACGTGCCAAAAATATAGCATACATTCCCGCACGCGCCATAAATGGGTCATCACTTATGTTAATGTTATTGGTACTATTGGCATACACAATGGCATAACCTCCATCTGTGGTAGCAATTGATGTACTAATATTCCCGTATTCCTGAAGTATATCTCTAGATAATAATGAGATTTGACCATTAGCATCACTAAAAAATGAAAGGCAGGACGTCAGAATTGCAAATGATCGAAAAAAAAAGAATAGTAAAGAAATAAACCGTACACTGCATACTGCTGCCATTCTGAATTGGCTTGTCTAGTTATTTGAGAAAGACGGAGAAATCCTTGCTTGGGATCAATATTTATTCTTATGGCGGCTTTATTAAGACCCCAAACATTAGTGTCTGGGTTCACGTATGATTGCCCAAAGCGTATTGAGCTAAAAGCAAAATTTTAATAATAAATCATCGTTAAAGCGATAGTGATTGATTATCCTTACAAATCGTCAGTCATTCTAACCTCAAAACATTTCCACTCCAATTAATAATCATTCCCCATTCGCTATATGTTGAAACATTATTTTCATCTGTGGCATTCGTGTACGTCACTAAAATGTGCTCATTATATAACGGATAAGGTCGAATAGGCCTTACGGATGTATCACCGCCAAAACAATAATTTATATACTGAAGCCCTAAGTCAACGTCAATTTCTGTCACGCTTCCGTTTTGATGTATAATGCGTAATGATAACAACGATTCAACACAGACGAAACCAGTTGGGGGAGTCATAGAAGCATTTTTACGAATTATTTGAACTATTATTGCACCTGTTCCGTCATTATATTGTTTAATATCTAGTACACGAGGTGTTTGGGTGGCCATTTTAGAATTTTGGCCACTCTCAAAATGCGTAAAATTTGATGTGGCACAATCTGTAGGCAATATCGACAAAGTCAAAAAAATGTAAACGAGAACTAAATTATAATATTGGATTTTCATCATCTAACAAATTCGTGCAAAAGAAAAAAAAAATGTCAACGATTTTTTTCTAGTTGGTCCCTTCTGCTATTCTTTTCGAATATAACTGGTTTTTGTTTATAAAACATCTTAGATAATGATCGGCATGATTAATCGAATCGATCATTTACCATATATTAATAATTGTTTTATATTGTTTGCGACCGCAATGAGGCTCTGCTGAAAAAAGATTTTCAATTAAACATTAATGTCTTTTGCCGGTACAGGCTTTGTCGATCTGATCAAAAATTTAAACAAAATATCTTTAACATGAGCCACAAGTCATGTTATTTTGAGTTAGCCAAGAAACAGATTATTATGTAATTAATGTCAAAAGCGACCCGCCAACTAGAGACAATAGCAAGATTTGCAAAACAAAAAACTGCGATCTTCAAATTACTGTGATCGTCAGACGATCACTAATCAGTCTTTTTTTTTGCAAATTACCACCGAAAATAATATTCCCTGTTGATCAATATAAATTTTGAAAGAAGGAATCTTATAATACATTTTTTATTTTCAATGCTGCTATTTTCTTAATAGAATTCGAGAAAATTCTTATTTATTAGTCAGGCGTTATTGAGAATATGGGATCTTTGCTATGAAAATGACCCTCCGAGGCTATGTTGATTTTGTGAATAAAGATTAAAATTTCCAGCCATCTAGTAATCCAATTTGAATAAACTTTTTTTTATTTTGTAAATCACAATATAGAATCTACAAATTAAAAATATTTCATTCAAATTGGATAACTAGATGGCTGGCAAATTTAATTTTTATTCACAAAATCAACATAGCCTCGGAGGGTCATTTTCATGGCATTAAACTTTAAAATTGATTACTAATCGTAATGGGCTAATATATTTTCAGCCAATCATAGATTTGCATTTCTGCAGTCAGTTTCTAGGGTGTTAAATTGCGAATCCGATCCTAGGATCTAAAAGGACGGTTCTGGATGGTTGTTGCTCAATTCTTCGAAAGTTACTTCCCCACCCCGACATGGTATTTCATCTAAAGCACATTTTTTCGATAAGGTATATATTGACATTACATCTTTTCAACAATCCTTTTCTTAGACAAGACATTTCCCCGACATAAAATTTGGCCTGATTTGGAGCTAATATTGGTTAAAATTATATGTCGGAGAAATAATTGTCGGAGAAATGTCTTGTCTAAGAAAAGGATTGTAAAATTATGTAATATCAAATATAAGTCTTATCTGTAGATGAAACATTACGGTGTTTCGGGAAATCTCCTGGATTCATAATTCATTTATAGGACTTAGATCCTGTATCAGATCTTGGATTGAATCCATCGAATAAGTCCATCCAATCAAATTAACTTTGTATTGTTATAATAATTCACTAAGTATTATAAATTGTATTGTGTTTTCATGTGATTTAAGGATCGTGATCTAACTGGACCGGTTAGGATTTGATCCCAAAGGACATAAATTTGTTGATCACAGTAATTTGAAAAGCGCAGTAATAATTTTGTGTGGTCTTAGTTATGAGGTGGCCGATAAATAGAAACTGATGAAATAGGTAGGGTGGCGAGGTGACGAACTTGCTTATCTTGTGATTTTTCGAACGATTCTTCACCATTGATATTTCAATGGCTTTATAATCAGGAGACATCTAAGCCTGCACTTTACAAAATTACCCGATTTTTAATTAAAATCGATTAATATTAGGGTTATAAAGGAAGGTAAATATATAGTAAAATTAATTTCCAACACTTTACTAAGTGCACCAAAGCCGTTTTCGGCTCTACCACACATCCAAAATCCCGACACTCAAAATCCCGAAAATCAAATCCCGACAGTACCAAAATCCGATGAACCTAGTAAGTATTCCCCTAAAAAAAAGTTACGTAACTGAGCTTTAATTTAAAATACAATTACAATAATGACGATAATTTTCTTATTAATAATCAATTATAATGAAAATGAATTTGCTTTTTATTCAACGCTATTTTGGTTACTACACAATGTCAAGTGAGTTATTGAAATATTGCACAGGTTGCCAATCATATAAAAAATTTGAAATTTTTTTTTTCGAAAAAAAATTCTTTTTTATTTGAAATTTATATTCGAATTGTAGTAAAATAAGTTTTCAATATAAATTACTAATATACGATGAAATGTGTGGTAGAATCGTCGTTCCGTGTTTTATCTTCATCGCCTTGCTTGTTTTCATGTCAGGTAATTTCGTAAGGTACCAAGCTTTAGATGACTTCTTTATTCAGATTAGCCTTTTTTTTTATTTCTCATTGAGAGAAATAAAAGGGGATAAAAATCATGTCGGAATGATCAGGAAAAGAAAATGTGAAGTCATTAAAAATAGCAATATAATGAAATTGGAATTGTTTTTTTGCTCATAGGCAGACATTCGTATGATTGACTGTTTTAATCAATTTAATTTTACATTATTTATACAGTTTAAAGTACTTTTTTAAAAAAAGAAAACTACTACGAATAAACAAAAAAGAAGTATATAGAAAGTTTTATTAGGGTTGTAGGACTCCATTATTAAAAATAATCAAAATTCTTTTTTGTTTTAGAGAAGTTAGCATAATAACGACTTCTTAAAATTAGGTTATCACCGTGCTAACTTCTCTAAAACAAAAAAGAATTTTGATTATTTTTAATAGTGGAGTCCTACAACCCTAATAAAACTTTCTATATACTTCTTTTTTGTTTATTCGTAGTGGTTTTCTTTTTTTAAAAAAGTACTTTAAACTGTTAAATTAAATTGATTTAAACAGCCAATCATAAGAATGTCTGCCTATGATTTTTTTGCACTATCTCAATTTACCTAATATAATAAGCTTTTAATTATATTAGAATAACAGTAAGGTGCAGTCGAATTTTCATATATGAGCTTATCTAATTAACATTAGCGTTAGGTTTAGGTTCCTAAATCTGACAATCTGGATTGATCTTTCAACCCAGATAAATTCAGATATCCAGAACCCATACAGGGAGATCCCAGATTCCTGGTCGGCTGGACCGGAATTGATCAATTTTTCCAAAGATCACAAAAAATTTTACTAATGAAATCATAGCCGTTCATTGCTAACCTAACCCTAACTCCGATGCATTCCGACCTGGAATTTTGGTAATTTGTCTTAAAAAATGATATCCAGATCAGAGACTTTTACTCGGATTGGCCAAAGAACTTATATAACGGACCTGAGGATGTGCTTAAAGCTATCTTATGATGTATAATTTAATTTAATGCGGATTCGATACGGGTTGCAAAAATAGGGTCGAAGCACTAGGTTTAGATTATTTTTATTATAATATATATTGTACAAATATTTGTTTTATGAATATTCTTTTAAAATATTAGTAACTAGAAATGCTGGTGAAATTAGTTTCACCAATTTTACCAATAGTAGTAAAACTATTTCACCACTCTAATTTTATTTTACCAGCACCTTTGAGTATAACTAAGTTTACAAGAATTATTTAACAATTAATAAGAAATAGTTTACTATAATATAAAAAATTTAATTTTTTTGTTTTTGCAAAATTTAAATTTTAGATTTCTACTTAGAAAAGTAATAATCTAATCACTTATGTATTATTATATTTTTATATATAGATAATACTAAATAGCAAATCTATCTATTAAAATTTGTATTATTTTTCTAGAATAATCCGAATCTGATTGGCTGATATTCATATAATGATAAGACAATATTATAATCAAATTGTCAAAGTGAAGTCAGTCTACATACTTATAACATATTATTAACTATATTAAATTTTATAGTGAGAACTTTTATGTATATGTAAAAGTTAAAAAATATTTTATTTGTCTACTATATAATATTATTTTATTAGATTAGATCTGTAAAATTAAATATTTTTTTTATTTTTTTTTATTTTTAAACATTTGGAGACTAGTAGTTTATTAATATTTTAATATAGCCAACTACTTAAGCCTTATTATATAGTGATAGTCAGTATTAGTGCTCTCCATTAAGCTGGCTCAAATAGGCTCATGGAAATTTTGGTCTGGCTTGTTTTTGGCTTGAAAGGCTCACGAGCCTCGGAAAGTCTACAGACACATACAGGTCACGTGATTTTTACACGTACTGATGATCACATGATATATAACATACATAAAGTAGAATTTTTCTTAATTTTGGACAAATTTTCTTGACAAATATCCAATAGAATTTGATGAAATTTTTTTGAATAAATTCTGTGAATTAGTAGAATTTATTTAAAAAAAATTTCATCAAATTCAATTAGATAGTTGTTGAGAAATTTTCGTTCAAAGTTTGGAAAATTTTTCAACAGTTTAAGAAAATAGCTGTGGCAAAAATTTTTCTAAACTTTAAACAAAATATTCTCAACAACTGCTTAATAGAATTCGATGAAACTTTTTTTAAATCAATCCTACAAATTAGTAGAACTTGTTTAAAAAAAGCTTTATCAAATTCTATTGGATAGTTGTTGAGAAATTTTCATTTAAAGTTTGGAAAAGTTTTCAACACCTCTTAAAAGCCATAGCAGAAATTTTTCTAAACTTTGAATGAAAAGTTTTCAATAACCACTTGATAGAATTTGATAAAAATCTTTTAATAAATTCTACTAATCCGTATAATTTATTTTAAAAAATTTCATCAAATTCTATTAAACAGTTGTCGAGAAATTTTCAGTTAAAGTTTAGAAAAATTTTTACTATAGCCATTTTCTCGAGCATTGAAAAATTTTCCAAACTTTGAATGAAAATTTCTCAACAACTATCAAATTGAATTTGATGAAATTTTTTTAAATAAATTCTACTAATTCACAGAATCTATTCAAAAAAATGTTCATTGAATTCTATGAGAAAATTTGTTCAAAATTA